AGTATATGTCCGAGGGTGTCCAAACTCTTAGGGGATGCATGCTGAAATTATTTGTTTGGCTGTATCAAACAAGGTTTGTGAGATGTCGCCACAACAATGACTAAAATGGGACTATTGGTAGTTGCAGGATTTCTCAGTAACGAAACGTTGTGGAGATCTCGGACAAGTCTTAAGCTGACGAAAACACATGTAACTAGAGGCTAATAGAGCCGGATTTTTAATATTTCACTTTCAAATTAACGGTCAGCGTCAAAGGTCCAAAATGCAAAAAAGTCTCACCAACTTGCATAAAGATAATTTTCCAACCACAAATCTAGACCGAATATCAAAAATCGGGCGCTATTATACATGTGCTAACTTCAGTTTAATACCTTTCCGACCTCTCTGCGATGTTTCGTTACTGAGAAATCTTGCAGCTATGAAACGGTGCTAAGGTGAAAGTCGCTTTCGAGATATGGAAGCGCCAGTATCTGATGCATAGTTCTTGATCAGAACATCATTCAGAGGTGGGAGTTATCTCATTTTGATCAGAAATGTTTACTCTATTTCCTGTTATTTTTGAAAGAATTTTTGGGTTTGCTTTTTTATGAGAAAGTGACTTTTTTAAGTAATTAATTTTTCAGACAGGTCTTCCGATAGATATTTGCAAAGGTCTTACTTTTCCAGAAAATCTTTCAGTATCAAATTCGAAAAGAAAGCGAAGGGGGATGTACTGTTGAATTTGAACAAATGATATATTATACTTGCAAAAGTCTCACATATATTAGTAGTCAAATAAAATAACATGACATAATTGAATTCCCAATTTCCTTATCATGTTTTTTCATTTCTTTTATTTTTTGCTATTTTCGCTTGTTCGATAGCTAACTCTCGTAATACAGCAAAATTTGGACTTCCTAATCCCGAAACTGCATCCCATCCAACTGCTGCATGAAATCCTGTTGGGCATGTTTCAGCAAAGGGTTCTGTGTGTGCTTGAAGAACTCCGTCTTTATTTGTACCATAAACAATATCGTTGAACGAGCTCGAATTTCTAGCAGCAGCCCAATAAAGAAATGGCGCAGCTAAACCCAATGGTGGAAGATTCTTATTGAGTAATGCATCATTGATTAAAGATAGCAGTCCAGCGAAAATTGGTGCTGATAAGGAGGTACCATCGCCATAACTGACTTTGGCCCCGATAATAGTAAAAATTTTGCTTCCAAGTGCGACTACATCTGGATAAGCACGACCGTGAGGATTCCAGATTGTTTTTAAATTGGATGATCCGTCTTGATTAAGTGGTCCGGTTGGTGGTAACAGTCCTAACACACGTTGGTTTTTTAAATATTTTTTAACTACATGTTTCTGCCATTTAGGCAGCGGATGTTCGCGGCTTTGATTAGCAAATCCACTTCCACTTGTAAATACTTGTCCATTTGATATACTAACTGGTACTTCGCCTAGTTTTGAGACTAACTTGGTATGTGCACCTAAATAATATTTAGTTTGAAACGATGCACCTACACTAACAACATAATGTGAATAACTTGGATAAATAGGTAAAAATGGTGTGCATGTTGGATCAGTACCACTAATATCATTGTTAGTAAAACCAACATTACTTGTACCACCATCACCCGATGAAGCTACCACTGTTAGACCCCGTGCTGCTAATTTAATCAATTCTTGATCGAATCGGTTTGTATAAATAAAGGAACCGAATCTTTGAT